AAGAAAACACACACACCCCATAAAAAAGAACAAAATCTCACCATTTGCAACAACAGGATGGACCTCGGGCATTACACTAAGTGATTTAAGTCAGTTAGAGAAAAATAAATATCCTGTGATCTCACTTATATATGGAATTCCGCCCCCCCCCCCAAAAAAAGCTCACAAATACAAAGAACAGGTTGGTCATTGTCAGAGACAGGGGATGGAGAAGTGGACAAAATGGGTAAAGGGAGTCAAAAAGTATGAATTTTCAGTTATAAAATAAGTCATGGGAATTTAATAGCATTGTTGGTAAAGAATCCACCTGCCAATGCAGAAGATTTAAGAGATGTGGGTTCGATTCCTAAGTCAGGAAGACCCCCTGGATGAGGGTATGGCAACCTACTCCAATATTCTTGTCTGGAAAACCCCATGGACCTAGGAGCCTGGTGGGCTACAATCCACGAGGTAGCAACGAGTTGGACACGACTGAAGCGACTTAGCACAGCACACAGTGACTATAGTTAATATTGTATTGTATATTTGAAAGATGCTAATAGAATTTTAAAAGTTCTTATCACAAGAAAAAAAAGTTTGTAACTAGTTATGGTGATTTATTGTGGTGACCATCTTGCAATATATACAAATATCACATCACTATGTAAACCTGAAACTAATATGTTATATATTAATTATACCTCGATTTTTAAAAATGCTTTTCATTGATGCTACTAATCCCTTCATCAGTCTATCTCAAGACTTTAGTGAAAGGAGGGTCACCAATAGGTCTTCTTGGGAGACTTAGGGGATCATTAGGATTGAAATGGTCCAATTGCCCACTGCAAATCTACTCCTATAATCCCATCTTTGTATATCTTTGAATCCCTTTATATTATTTCAAGGAATGTTCGTGTTCTCAATTTCATTTAATGTGCATCATTGTCAAGTCTACATTTCCATCAACTAACTAAACCAACAAGCAGAGTCATTTTCAGCTGCTCAAGGCAGCACATTAAATTCAGGATCTGCAGTAGGTGCACCCCCCATTTATCAAGTCTGTGCGTGTGTGCTCAGTCACTCAGCTGTGTCCGACTCTTTGTGACCCTATGGACTGTAGCCAGCCAGGCTCCTCTGTCCATGGGATTCTCTAGGCAAGAATACTGGGGGTTGCCATTTCCTCCTCCCTGGGATCTTCCTGACCTAGCGATCGAACCCACGTCTCCTGCAGCTCCTGCATTGGCAGGCTGGTTCTTTACCACTGAGCCACCTGGGAAGCTCTCCATAAAGTCTGCCCAATCCCAAATTACACTGTTCCATCCTCAGAACGTTTTCAGAATTCCATCCATTTCCCTGAGGTTTTGCCAATATAAATGAGCACAGTCTAGACTTTTTCTGGTGTGAGTCCTCTCCTCCTGGGTTTGCCTTTTTAACTGTATCCACCACAGCTCCTCTCCATGCTGGTCTCCAAATGATGCCTAAGGAGATCATGGGATATCGTCTGGGAGGAGGAAGAGGGGATGGAGTGAGGTTGTTACAGGCTCTTCACACAAGGCATTTACGGCCTCTGTAGGCAGGAAGAACTCCCCTGTTGATGAGCAAGGGAGGACTTGCCAACTGTGAGGGGTCTCCTGGGACACAGGATGGTCAGAACTCAACCCGGGTTTAGGGTATTACAAGTCCTCCAAACCCCCCTACCCAGAGATCCCCAGTCCAAGTCAACGTCCTCCTGGGTCCTGGTCAATACTCTTTAGTTTCACATAAGAGTCCTGGTGAGGCTGTGAATGCAACTCCTGTTAAAATCTGGCAACCAGCAGGATGACCTATGATTTTGGGCTTCTGTTATTTCAGTCTTATAGTGAGTAACAGGAGCTCTGTACCAACCCAGAGGGGTGGGACGGGGAAGGAGATGGGACGGAGTTTCAAAAGGGAGGGGATGTATGCATACCTATGGCTGATTCATGTTGAGGTTTGACAGAAAACAGCAAAATTCTGTAAAGCAATTATCCTTCAATAAAAAATAAGTTAATTTAAAAAAAAGAGGCATTTTTTCCTAGCATTTAAACAGTGACTAGAACTGAGAATTTAAGCCTCTGAGCCTAAATTATCTGTTTATGAGTCCATCTCTGTAAAAGCAACCAGCCTATCCCACAGTCCTAGATTTCTTCACTTTATACTGTTAAATGGCAGCACCCTCTTACCAGTCAAAACCTTCCTATCCTTAGATAATGCAATCTATCCATTTCTCACTTCATGTTTGTGTCTGGCCAGCGGGAGGTGGGTGGGAGTGGGGGAAGGGTACCAAAGATACATTGCTACATCAATTTTTATTAACTTACATTTTTTACCATTTGTATTTAGGTCTTTCATCCATCTGAAGTCTTCCTTTTTATAGTGGGAGGCAGGGTTCCAGTTTCCATTTTCTCCATGTAGTAGGTCTGCTGTCCCAATCCGGTTACTGAACACCATTCTTCATGTATTGATTTTTGTGCTACTTTTGTAAGTATTCAGGGGGTCTGTCTGTGAGCTGTTCTATTACACTGTTCTATATGTTTCTCATTACTCTGATGTATATACCTGGATGTCAGAGGCTTAGTGTGAACAAAATAATGCAAAAATATGGGGACTTCCCTGGTGGTCCAGTGGCTAAGACTGCACTTCCAATGCAGACAGTCCAGGCTCCATCCCTGATCAGGGAGCTAGATCCCACATGCTGCAACTAAAAATACCCCACCCACAACAAAAGATCTTGTATCCCTGGATGAAGATCAAAGATTCTGAGTCCTGCAATCAATTCGGCACAATACATAAATAATAGAAATAAAAAAGAAAACTAAAAATGTGTAACAATATCTCAATTCTTTTTATAATATTCTGGATATGGTGGTTTCAGTAAAATATATGAACATGAATTCCACCTGTTTCTTCTTTTTATTGGAGAAGGAAACGGCAACCCACTCCGGTACTCTTGCTTGGAAAATCCCATGAATGGAGAAGCCTGGTAGGCTACAGTCCATGGGGTCACAAAGATTCAGACACGACTGAGCAACTTCACTTCACTTCACTTCTTTTTATAGGACCACAGAAATTACTCACGTGTCCCACTTTTTTTCTATTAGACAGTACTGTTCTGACTGTACTCTGGCAAACACAAAACAGACAATGGAGAAAGGTAAACATGGATTCAGAGTTCCCCTCCTTCACTTATGAGCTCTGCGGACATGGCACATTAAAGTATCTACTTCATATGGGAATGGTGAGGACTTCATTAAATAAGATAAGGTATATAGACTACACGGTACCTGGCAAGTAATCACCCAATGTTTGTTTCATTATCTTTCTCTGAGGATAAGGAAGTAGCTCACTCATAACAGTATACAGCAAGCATGTATTAAATGACTACACACATTAAATGAATGAAGTTCAAAGTGAAATTAGCTTAGAGTATTTTTAAAATTCAAAATTCTCTATCATATGACTGCCAAGACCCAGCACTGTCATTTTTAAGGGTAACAATATTTTGAGAAAAAGACAATTACTTTCTCATTTTATTCATTTGCTTTTTCTAATGCTTTAATAAGTCATTTGCATAGGTTAATACATTTAGTTACAGCTATAAGACAACATGAAAACTAGACAAGAAGCGATGAAAACTAGAAAAGGCATTCCAGATCTTTTCAAAATAACTATACTGAGGAAATTCTTGACTGACCGTTACCTTCAGAAATACCCCTACCCCTTCTACTATAACAACTTGTGTAACTTTCAATGAAATCATTTATTACTACAGTTTATCCTGAACATTTTCTTATACTCCTTGAAAGCCTTACTTCAAAAACAAAAAGTCTCCATATAATTCTGTAAATAAATAGTAAATGTTATTGTACCTGAGCTTAAGAATTTTAACTTGTCTCCATTGGTTTATTAATTTCTAAAGTAAAACCTGAAATTAACATTCATTTCTGGACTGTAACTACTGATAGTCATTAGAATATTTTAATATCTGATGTAAAGAGGGTTCCTGATATTGGGGAAGAGGTGACAAAATCTCCTTCAAACTCAGAGGAAAGTGAGTTTGCTGTAACACAACGAGCTCCTAATTACCTGAGCTACTCAAGGGGACACTTGGGCAGGTCACTCAGTTGGGAACCCTGCTTGCCTTAGCTCTGGAGATGTGTGTCTGAAGACGCTGACCCCACAGGCAGCCCTTTCTTAAGATGCTCCCCACTCTCTCTGCTCTGCCCACTTCTCAGGCCGTGCTCAGCTGAAGGCACCAACCTCAGGACAGGGCCGTGGTCTGCGAGGGCCCAGCAGCAATGTGCAGGGCTGAAGGACAGGGCATTTGGTCAGGGAGTAAGAAAGGTGCTTTTACAAAGGGATTTCTGACGGAGGACCAAGGTGATAAGGAGATGGAATAATCTCAAAAGAATATTAAAATCTAAGGCTGCACAAGGCATTGTAAACAGCAATGATCTTTCTTAGAAACATTAGAAGTCAGTTGCATCAAAAGAGCACATGTAATCCAGGATTGGAATAAAAACACCTGAGGAGTTATTTTTCTCTAGGAAACAAAGTAAGTATTATTTCTGTTTTTAGCGAAAGTTTGTCCATGCCTAAATTGATTTTAATCTTTTAAGTCAATTTTTAATAAAGTGAGCAACAAAAGAATTATGGATTTGAATACTGATCATATCAATTTATTACTAATTTTGGACTTCCCCTTAGTTCCCTATACGAAAATGATGGGTTTCTCAGTGGTAGTTACAATAGCTTTCAAAGAGAACTTGGGCAAAATAATTAAGATGGAAACCATAAATAACCAGAAAGTAAATGAAGCAAATTGTTCAATGAGATAATCACACTAAAGTATATTAATATTCTTCTGTAAATTTTTAGATTGTTAAAGTAAAATTATCTTAATCTAGCATATTATGAATTGTTATAAAAGATTTCAATCTTTGAAAATTATGAAAGACTTCAAGACCTCATTAATGGAGTTAGAAATGTCAGCTATTATGCTACTAGTCAAGTTTGGTCTGTATTTTCTGGGCCTCTTTAGGCCAAGGATAACAATCAGGTAGAATCTGGTCATAGTCAGTGCTATACATCTGAGAGCGGACAAATGCTTCCTTGTTTGGGGGTTCAGGATAAACTGTGGCTGTCTTTTCTTGGTATGCATCTTTCACAATCTAGAAATAAAAAAAGAATATTAATTATTTTAATGAATATAGGTGATGATGAGCACATCAGAAATTTTTCATCTGATTTCATTAACAGATGAATGGATAAAGACATGGTGAACATACACAATGGAATACTACCCAGGTATAAAAAAAAAAGGATGAAATAATGCCATTTGCCGCAACATGGACGCAACTAGAGATTATCATACTATGTGAAATAAGTCAGAAAAAGACAAATACCATATGATACCAATTATATGTAGAATCTAAAACATGACACAAATGAACCTATCTATGAAAGAGAAACAGACTCATGAACACAGAGAACAGATTTGTGGTCGCCAAGGAGGAGGACTGAAGTAGGAGATTGAGGTTAGCAGATGTCAGGTATTATCAGTATACACAGGATAGATAAACAGCAAGGTCCTACTGTAGAGCACAGGGAATTATATTGAATATGATAACCATAATAGAAAAGAATATAAAAAAGAAAGTGTGTATATATATATATATAACTGCATTGCTTTACTGTACGGCAGAAATTAATACAACAGCATAAATCAACTATACCTCCATAAAAAAAGAAATTTTATATCTGTTTCAAAAGATTAAAATAATCCACATCTTGCCTGTTTCCAAAAACTTCAGTGTATTATAATAAGAACACACCATCACAAAGATATCAAGTGAAAATGCAATCATGTAACAAGAGGAGACTATGATGTCAGCAACAAAGGAAAGTGTGGCTGCCAGGGACTTACCCATGGGTGATCCTACCAGAATTTCTCAGATGAGTCGTCTTAAAAGCCTGGAAATGACCTGACTGATAGTTAACTTGAACTCAATGCCTTAAACACCCCGCTGAGTTTGAACTCAGATATCCTGCACTTCCAGCAATCTCGATTCTGACCACAGCCTCCTACAGAATCTCTTTTTCCATCCCACGGCTAGGGCGACTCTCACCCTAATCTGTGGGGCGCTGGGGGCAGCCTCCGTGCTCCCTAACCCACTGATATCACAGAACCTTGTCCCCACGTCTTCCTGTGACAGTCCCCACTCTAGTCCCTGACCAGGAACCCTCAGGGCCGTCTTTCTCCTTTCATAGTTGTTGCCTGACATGTCACACCTTTCCTAACCTTACTTGGGCCCACGTGGTTACACATGATGCGTTTATTCTTTAAAATTCAAAAACAAACACACAAAAAACTTCCTATCAAGTCAATTTTCCACAAGTCAATTTCAAACCTTCCCTTCCCATCCAGTATCAATTTGATTCTCCTCACTTTGCTGAGAAAATTCCAGCTAATCAGAGAAAACTATCTCAATTTTTATCATCATCTCAAACTATCTCCTCCATGTCTTGATATTCTCTCTTCCCCTGTGTTGAGAAAAAAGGATTCCACTGTCAAAATTAATCATTTCACATGTGCTCTTTAATTCACTCCAGTTTTTTAAGAACGTGATCCTTAAAGAGCTATTTGTATGACAAACTTATTTGAATAAGTGTGATTTTGAAGACTATTAGAATGATTAACTATCTCTTCCCAATGTAAAATTATGCATTTCTGAAAAATTAAAGTTATAAAGACTGTGCTATATTATGGATAAATGCTTTTAAAAAATAGGGATCAAAAGTATGTGAATACATGCTCATACCTTATTATATTGATGTTAGAAAAGAAAGCAATCCAATGAAAAAAGACTACAAGCAAACACACCAAAATGATGACAATACTTGTGTTAGAAAAGTAGAATATCAGGTATTTTCCACTTTCCAGAATGCCTATGAGATGGTATTACTATATTTTAACAAATATTCTTGAGTTACAATTCACTGACCACAAAATTCAAGCATTTCAAGCATATAATCCAATTACCTCTGTAAATTCAGAGTGATAGGCAACTGTTACTACACCCAGTTTCAGAAAATTTCCATCACCCCAAAAAGTTTTCCTGTGCCTGTTTTGCAATGGCTATATCACTTTTATAATAAGATGTTCTGTTTCATTCCTGACACAGACTCTGTGCAAATCCATTCCTCTTTCGGCTCCCAGGACACACTGCATTGACAATGCTCTCCATCAGTGAGATGTTCACTTTCTCCTCTTGCCAATGCTAGACTCTCTTGGAGAGTGGCTTATATGTTGTTGCTTTCCTAATTCTCCCTGACTTCTCAACTTCTTGTGGGACTGTTATTGTGTCTGTAAAGGTTTCTGAAAGCTTCCTAAGTACTAAATAAATGTCTTCCTCTGTTCTTATCACTAGGATTTGGTTTTGTCACTCATAACTTCCACCCCCCATCTCGAAACGGTGTCTTTTCTGATTTCTGATGGGCAGCTCAGTTCTGAGCCTCTTCTTTTTAACCAGTTCCATTTTAAACTGGTTTCTTTCATCTCTCTCTGGTCAGAATAATGAACTGGGTTCTAGCCTCAGTTTTCTTTCGTTTCCACTGGCTCTCTTGGTGACCGCAACTACCTTGAGAGTTTCCCCTGTTACCACATACAAACGACCCCCCATCTTTACATCCAGCCTCTCTTTAAGTTTCAATCATCACCATCTACTTGTGAGAATCGTACATTTGAAGGTACCATGGATACCACAATCGTCAGTCCACTATACCCCCTTCCTCTCTGAAGCCGATTCTTTGTCCTGGTTTCCCAACTTCTGTTTATGCACTCGGCTTTTTTTTTTTTCTCTTTATAAAGTGTGATATCTGAGTGCTGTCCTTCATCGTCTTATTTTCTCCTCTGATCGATCATATGCTACTCCTTTTCATTGAAATCTTAAAAGAGAATTTAAAATGAAAATGTGATGTTTGGTGTGTTAATAATTCAAACTATTAAGTAGATACAAATGAGGAGAAACTAGGAGTATGTTAATTTGAGCTTCCTGGATGGCTGAGACAGCAAAGAATCTGCCTGCAATGCAGGAGACCCAGGTTCAGTCCCTGGGTTGGGAAATCCCCTGGAGAAGGGAATGGCTGCCCACTCCAGTGTTCTTGCCTGGAGAAATGTCTGAGTCCTTTGTACTCTCCTGCTGCCCTTCATCGTCTCACTCCTCCTCTGATCATATGCTACTTGTTTGCATTGAAATCTTCAAAAGGAACTTAACATGACAATGTGATGTTCCATGTATTAATAATCCAAACTATTAGGGGTTTAAGTAGAGACAAACTGGGAGAAACTATGAGCATACTCTTCCATGAATAGATAACCAAGCAGAATTAAAGGGTTTTTTTTTTTGAAGCATTACTTGGTTTTTGAAGCACTGACTTTCAATAAACAAGATAAATAATGATGTATGAATCCTAAGTGGGATTGTTTTTGATAAATTTGCTAATAAATTTTTACTTTCAGCCAGGAACAATTCTGCCTCCAAGTGGACGTTTGGCAATGTCTGGAGACATTTTCAGTTGTCACACCTGTTGCAGAGGCTACTGGCGTCTGGTGAATAAGGACCAGGGATGCTGCTGAACCATCTATAACCCCTGAGATGGCCCCCACACTGCCGGGAGCCAATACACGAGACCCTACCCCTAAAAAGGCCATAGGGGAGAAAACCTGATGGGCAAGGCGAATCAGGTTTTCAGGGGTTTTTGAAAAGGCCAGCTCACGAGATCCCACCCATGACAAGGTCACGAGGAGAAAGCCTGGCAGGCAAGGCAGATCAGGTTTTCAGGGATTTCGAAAAGCTGCCCCCGGCTCTCACCTTAAAGATGATATCTGTCTTTCTGATGCCTGCCTCAATGGACTCTGACACAGGCAGGAAGTCCTTCCCCGATCTCTTCCCAAGTAAGAATCAATTTAGAACTTTAATCAATAAGTTTCCCAGGTGGTGGTATTTTATGAGATTATTTAGGGTGAAAGGAGTGTTTTAATTCAAACTCCTTTGCTGGTAGTTTGTTAGCCAAATGCATTTATGCGCTTGGTACTAATATGCATGATTGCTTATAATATCCTAATCATAAAATAGCATAAAGAACCTGATTATATAGAAGCCCTAATAGATATAGAGCCCTTTTAAGGGGTAAAGGAGTCCTATTAGAAAACATAAGAAAATTATCCTATAGGTGGTTATTGGGTTGTGATTTGTTTGCTGTGTTTTGCTTGCTGTATTTTTGCCTTTAATGTGCTAAGGTTGTGTTATAAAAACCACTGTTAATATAGTTAAAGATCTAGAGAAATAAGAACTTAGCCGTAGTGTGGTAACAATGAGATGGTTGTTAATTGTCAGTCAGGAGTGCTAGGCAAAAGCTGCCTCACTGAAGCCGCAGAGTCTGCATGGGGTAAACTTCTTAGATAAATGCAAGTGACAACTTTTGCAGAAAGATTAATTTTTGTATTAACAAGAATATAGTTCTGCTATGTACTATTTCCCTATGACACTGTTACCTTTCAGTTAAGGTCACCATAAAACAGAAAATAGGTTAACATTCACCTGACTTGCATAAAATGTTAATAGGCCCCCAGGCCAGAAGATAATGTACAAGACCCTCATAAACAAAGAAGTATGCAGAAAACACCCTGGTTTTGTGATGAACAAGCTGATGTAATGTTAAACTATCTTCCCCTTAGAAATGTACTAACTTAGGGTATAAAAGCTATGGTAAAAAATAAAGCATTGCCAGACTCTGCCAGACTCTGCACCCCCTGTCTGGTCATTCTCTCCCTCTCTCTCTCTCTCTCTCTCTCTCTCTCTTTCTCTCCCTGGCAGATTTGGCCCTATCAAGGCTGGTCTCACGTGTCTTCTCTCTCTCTCTTGCCGACGCCGTTCATCCTGAGGGTACCCCCTGGATCCTGCTGAGGCTGGACCCCGGCACCACACCAAAGAGTTACCCAGTGCACAAAGAGTCACGTGCACAGGGCTGAGGTTGAGAAATTCTAGTTTCAACATATGACTACTATTGTGGGCTGAAGTATGCTACCCCAAAATGTTGGTGCCTTAACCTCCAGTACCTCAGAGTGGGACTGTATTTGGAGACAGGGCCTTTAGAGAGAAAAATAAATTTAAAATGAGACTGTCTGGGTGAGCCCTAACCCAAGCTGACTGGTGTTCTTATAAAAATGGAAAATACGGACACACAGAAAGACCCCAAGGATGGGCGCACCCAGAAGAAAGGTCACAGAGGACCCAGGGAGAGGGTGGTCATCAGCAAGACAAGGAGAGGCTTCCAAAGAAACTGGACCTGCCAAGCCCTTTCATCTTAGGTTTCCGGCCTCCAGAACTGTGAGAAAGTAAATTTCTGCTATTTGAGTCACCCGGCTGGTGGCAGTTTATTATGGCAGCCCTAGCAGATGAATACAACCAGCCTACACGAAAGTCCCTTTCTCTCTCCTCTTAGTTACCAAAGACAAAGGTTCTTCTTGACTAGCTCCTTGAAGAGTTCATCTGCCACCTCCACAGCTTGGAGTTCTCTGTTCTCACTGTTTTGCTTCCTGCCCAATTTAATCAACTGTGATTTGTAAGATGTCACATACCACAGAGACATGGGTGGTTAAAGGCCTAACCGTCACTCTATCATATCTGCAATATTGTGGGGACTATCACAGTGTTATATGGAAAATACCAAACAAAAAAGGGTGAAGTTGGGGAAGCTTAGCTGAAATGAAAGCCTGATGAATTACTTCAATTCTGGGAGAGAAAAAGAAGGGTAGGGGAATTAAAGATTCAACCCATGCCGAAGGATCAAATACAGTTCCTATGCTCTGTCAGGGCACCAGGCCTCATTTCTCTGACTTCTGACAGAAGAAGTGGACATAGATATTTCAAGGAAGTGTATTTTTACTACCGTTTTACTGTCTAAATATGCAAACTTAGCCATAGAAGGAAGGAAAAACAATGAGGCTTGAACCACAGTTGTTTTACCTTTTCTGCGATTTTCAGAGAAACATCTCTAATGGTGTCCAAAGGAGGATAAAGCCGGCCCTCTTCCAAGTGTTTATCTGATACTTGCTGAGCTATGACCTTAAAAAAAAAAAAAAAAGACAAAAAAATACTTGATATCATACAACGTGGTAGTTGTGAGGAAAATAGGGAATATCGTTAACAGATAAAAGCAGATCACACGAATGCCATCGGCACTTGCATCTCTCCCTTTCTCAATGGAAAATGGAGCTCAGATAGGCTTAGAGACTGGTGTGTGTGTGCGAGTGTGTTTGGAGACTGGTGTGTATGTGCGAGTGTGTTTGGAGACTGGTGTGTGTGTGCGAGTGTGTTTGGAGGCTGGTGTGTGTGTGAGTGTGTTTGGAGACTGGTGTGTGTATGTGAGTGTGTTTGAAGACTAGTGGGAGAAGACAATTAGTGAAAAGATGGTGATGAACATCTGCGTTTCCTCTTAACTCAGTTCCTCTTTTACTGTACCATGAAATGCTGGCAGTTTTCTGACCCGATGCACTAGAGCACCGGGCAAGTGGGGTAAAGAATTCAGAGGAAGATGAGAGAAGTGATAGGAAAGGACCTGAAAGCAGAGGTGGGGAGGCTGGTCATGCCTTACTCCCAGCTCACATATTCTTACACGGGAGGTAGACTAAGAGACTGAGAAAGCTGTTTCTGAGTCATACTGCAAAGCAGAATATTAATTTTACACAGACTTTGGATCATGTGACTCATCTAACCAGCTTCAGCATGGGCTGTCCCCAAACACTCCCTATTTCTAAAGGAAACAGTGTATACATAAAAATGTGCTACAAGGGTAGATATTTTACATTAAATGTTCTTATCATACACACACACACACACACACACACACACACACACACAATAAAGAAGGTGGGAAAAACTTCTGGAGGTAATATATTTGTTTATGGTATGGATTGTGGTGATGGCTTCAAAGGTGTATACTTATCTCTAAACTCAAGTTGTAAGATGTGTGGCTTTTTGTCAATCATACTTCAATAAAATAGCTTAAAAATGAGACAAACTGACATCATGAGCTTCTTGATGTGATGCACTGAGAAGGACATGATAATTGGGCCAACTAAACCAAACCCTATAACCACATAACTTGAATTAAATCATGAGAACACTGCAAGAAACAACTGGCCTGTACTCTTCAAAGTGCCACTGCCAGAAAAGAAACAGAAAGGCCGAAATGTTGTGGCATATGAGAAGAGTACTTTGCAAGTTATAAAGGTCTTTTATAAATAATTGACAAAATTTGAATTTAGATTACACATTAGATAGTATTATATGAATATTAAAATTAGCTGGGTTTTCAGTTACCCAGTGACGTACATGAATCAAAGTCTGCTCCAGATGCTGTTGTCAGGGGATCCCCTCTACAGTCATCTGGGCAGACATCAGAGAGGATGGGGAAGGTGATTTAGGAGGGGTGTGAGGGCAGGAGGACCAGGTCTGCCTCCCAGATGTGAACTGGAGAGAGGAGGCTGTTCCAGGCTGCCGCACAGACTACGTGGGAGTCTGTATCGCTGACCCCGAACACTCTAAGTCCAAGAGACTGTCCAGAGAACCAAGAGAGCCAAAAATCTCTTTATGATATAAAAATGTGCAGGAATAGTCTTTGGGATTGGTGGCAATCCGTGGGATTTCTAGTTCATAAGAGAGCCAACTAGCATTTTGACAATAATCCTAACAGTTACTAGATCTGCAGTGGCCAAACAAAATATTCACCTAGATCTCTTACATGCTACTTTTGTTAATAACAGCATTCTTCTTTTTGTGCACTCTAGAGGCTGTGGAAAATTCTTAAAGAGATGGGAACATCAGATCACCTGACCTGCTTCCTGAGAAACCTGTATGCAGGTCAAGAAGCAACAGTTAGAACCGAACATGGAACAACAGACTGGTTCAAAACTGGGAAAGGAGTAGATCAAGGCTATATATTGTCACCCTGCTTACTTAACTTATATGCAGAGTACATCATGAGAAATGCCAGGCTGGATGAATCACAAGCTGGAATCAAGACTGCTGAGAGAAATATCAACAACCTCACATATGCAGATGATATCACTCTAATGGCGGAAAGCGAAGAAGAACTAAAGGGCTGCTTGATGAGGGGAAAGAGAAGAGTGAAAAAGCTGACTTAAAACTCAACATTCAGAAAGCCAAGATCATGGCATCTGGTCCCATCACTTCATGGCAAACAGGTGGGGAAAAAATGGAAACAGTGACAGACTTTACTTTCCTGGGCTCCAAAATCACTGCAGACAATGCCTACAGCCATGAAATTAAAAGACACTTGCTCCTTGGAAGAAAATCTATGACAAACCTAGACAGTGCATTCAAAAGCAGAGACATTACTTTACAGACAAAGAGCCATTTAGTCAAAGCTATAGTTTTTCCAGTAGTCATTTACGGATGTGAGGGTTGGATCACAAGGAAGGCTGAGCACCAAAGAATTGATGCTTTTGAACCATGGTGCTGGAGGAGACTCTTGAGAATCCCGTGGACAGCAAGGAAATCAAAACAGGCAATCCTAAAGGAAATCAACCCTGAATATTCATTGGAAGGACTGATGCTGAAGCTGAAGCTCCAATTCTTTGGCCACCTGATACGAAGAACTAACTCATTGGAAAAGACCCTGACACTGGGAAAGATTGAAGGCAGGAGGAGAAGGGGACAACAGAGGATAAGATGGTTGGATGGCATCACCGACTCAATGGACATGAGTTTGGGCAAACTTCGGGAGATGGTGAAGGACAGGGAAGCCTGGCATGCTGCAGTCCATGGGGTCGCAAAGAGTCAGACACGACTGAGCCACTGAACAACAAGAGGCATGTCTGTGGTATTGAATTCTTACTGATAAATACTGTTGACTAGTTCTATATAATTCAGTAAGTATTTAGTAAGTTTCTGCTATGTGTTTTAGCATGGTGTTAGATGTTACTGGTCTTCTGAAAGAGGTATATGGGAGACCTTCTGTTTGTATAGAAAATCACATATGATTTAATTATAAGGCGAGACTTGACCATTTGATATGTGAAACTCTTGAAAGCATAATACAACTAGGAACCAAATGAAATATCAACATGTTTGCTAAAAACAGTCATGGCTAAGAAGAAAGATAAAAATAATTCAGAGCAGTCACAGAGAGAGCCAAAGATGAGGTAGGACTTAAGCCATGACCTGAAGATAGGCTTAGACCAGTGGAGAAGGAATCATTTCAGGGCAAGACGATACACAGGGCAGTCCATGGCTATTCCTAGGCGTGGTGTATTTCAAGGCTTTGGGATTAGGGAGGATAAAAAGAAGGTCAGTCTTCCAAGCTTCGGAGCCTGCTTACAAAGTGGGTGTCACAAACAGAAATGCGGATAGTGAGGGTAAGGGGAGATGAAAGGTGGTTTTTCACATCTGTATTTAAAGAAACAGCAGGGCATTTTTGTGGAAATACCCAGTGGTTCACAGGAGATGTGGTAAAAGATAAGAACAGAGATACACACACTTGGCCCCTTTCAGGATGACGACAATGGAAACGAGAGAAAGAGTGAGATCTCTGAAATCAGAAATTAAAAGAGAAAAATGAGAACAAGAGACAATGAATTTGGGGAAGAAGCTTAGTCGATAGGTAACTACTGGATAGCACAGGGAATGCTCTGTGGTGAACTGAAAGGGAAGGAGATCCAAAAAAGAAAGGATCCATGTATACATGTGGCTGATTCACTTTGCTGTCCGGCAGAAATTAATAAAAAATTTTTAAAGGGACTTGAAAGGGACACAAAGAAAGCACTGATGTGGCATAAAAAACAGAAATATTATGTGATGCCTAAGGAGAAAGTGATGAAAGGCTGAAAGATTCAGCCCGAGAGATCACTGGCTAGAAATTTGTCACTAGAGGGTGCTGGCGTTATTTAGGAAAGAAATCACTGGCAACCGTGAAAGATCATCTTTCTTCTTCTGATGTGTCTGCTAGAAAAGACAATGACAACATTTTCTTTAACGTAGGAGCAACTCTGAAAGCTCTCAGTAAGTAGACATCTACTTATGTTTAAGACGACTTTTTGAGTCAGAGAAGCTCTGAAACCCGAGCCATGGTGCAGTGAAGAAAAACAAGCCGAGCACAAGGGCTGACAGACATCTGTTCTCACGGAACGACAAGTGCGAAACCCTGGGATTAGGCTGCTTGAGATCACGCCAATAACATAAACATCTTTCACAGTGGGGAGACAAACCTGTATGTGTGATGAAATCATGTGAACATTAATCACTTTGGATGTGATTCGGCTCAGTTAGCATGTTGTGCAGTGGGTTAATTTTAAGAGAAGAAACTCGCTTAAATTTCTCCTTCATGAATTGCATCCTCCTCAAAAGTATCAACGAGATGAACACTCTGATTATCACAAGCTCACAATTTCACAAATGAAGGTCCAACCATTGTGTCATCCTCCCGAAGCTTGGGAGGGAAGGGAAACTGATGGGAGCCTGAGGTTCCCATTATCTCTTGTGCCATGAGTAATAAATTCCTCTTTCTCTGACCTAGGAGTTCTGTGTCCTTTGCCAGCATTTGTGAATCTGTGGCAGGCTGACCTGCTAGCCTGCAAGTAAGGTTAAATTTTTGGCTTCCCTGGTAGCTCAGAGGTAAAGAATCAACCTGCCAATGCAGGAGACGCAGGTTCGATCCCTGGGTCGGAAGATCCCTTGGAGAAGGAAATGGCAACCCACTCCAAAAATTCTTGCCTGGGAAATCCCATGTACAGAGGAGCCTGGCAGGCTACAGTCCAGGGGGTTGCAAAAGAGTCAGACACGACTTAGCGACTAAATAACAAAGATGAAATTTCAGATCCTTCAGAGTGCCAAAAGGTAGTTTAACACAGCGCCCTTACTGGGTCTGCTGTGTGGTGTTCTGGGAATCTTTCCTGAAGGCCCACAGAAGAGCCCGCTTCTGTCCTTTTAATGATTTTACAAACACCAAACTCTCTGTTTTAATTTCTTCTTAGCTGAAATACCAGAGTGGTTGCTGTATTCTGCACTGAACCCTGAATGATAAACATTTCTTCACTATACCAAATCAGACTTTCATTTCAAATCATCAAAATGTCATCATTTAGGAAGGTTCTCCACAGAGAAAAATATTTACCACTTATTTCATGATTTGGAAACAAAAATTTTCATAGTCTCATTACTGTCACAGAACTTGATCAAAATTTGCAGATTTTTTTTTTTAAGTTCCTTCTCTTGAACTCTGTTAATGGGAATGCAAACTGGTACAGCCACTGTGGAAAATAGTATGGAGGTTTCTCAAACTAAGAGTAGAACTATCATATGACCTAGAAATTCCACTTCAGAGTGTGTGTGTATATATATATATATCCAGACAAAACTATAATTTGAAAAAATACACATGTCCCTATGTTCAGAGCAGCATTATTTACAACTACCAAGATATGGATGCAACATAAGTGTCCATCAAGATGAATGGATAAAGAAGATGTGGTATATACATATAATGGAATACTGCTGCTAAGTCGCTTCAGTCATGTCCGACTGTGTGACCCCATAGACAGCAGCCCACCAGACTCCCCTGTCCCTGGGATTTTCCAGGCAAGAACACTGGAGTGGGTTGCCATTTCCTTCTCCAATGCATGAAAGTGAAAAGTGAAAGTGAAGTCGCTCAGTCGTGTCCGACTCTTAGTTACCCCATGGACTGCAGCCTACCAGGCTCCTCTGTCCAAGGGATTTTCCAGGCAAGAGTACTGGAGTGGGGTGCCATTGCCTTCTCCAAATGGAATACTACTCAGCCATAAAAAGAGTGAAAATTTGCCATCTGCAGCAACAGAGATAGACTTAAAGGACATTATGCTATGTGAAATAAGTCAGGCAGAGAAAGATAAATGTTGTATGATGTCACTTGTATGTGGAACCTAAAAAATGCAACAAAATACTGAATATGACAAAGAAGCAGCAGACTCATGGATATAGACAACAAACCAGTGGTTACCAGTGGGGAGAGGGAAGGGAGGAGTGGCAAAACAGAGGCAGAGGATTAAGAGGCACAAACTATTGTGTATAAAACAAGCTATAAGGACATATTGTACAGCACGGGAATACAGCCAATATTTTATAATAGGCACAGATGGAGTATAACCATTGAAAATTGTGGAATACTATGTTGTACACCTGTAATTTATATAATATTGTACATCAATTTTAAAAAGGTCCCTTTTAAGGGAACAGAACACAGTCTTTCTGCTGGCTACAGAAGAACAATGCTTGCTAGTGACTCAATGTGAACTTACAACCCACCCCTGACTCCCCTCAGGGGAAAGATTTGATCCTCGGACTTTACACCTTCTAGGGAGTGAGCTGAAATACTAAATAAATAAAACGCAGACGGCCTACAGCGGGCTGATTTGAGATTTCACAGCCTTGACAAACGGACGGTATTTTATAATACCTCAGCAGTGGTGAGAAAAATCTTATCCGTGATATGCCTCAGTCCACACGCCACAACACCAAGAGCAACTCCAGGGAACACGTAGGAATTATTGCCTTGGCCAGGATAAAGAGTCTGTCCACTTGGAAGGGTAACAGGATCAAAAGGACTGCCGCTGGCAAAAATGGCGCGACCCTGCAACACAGAAACACAACTGTGAAAAGAGGCAGGTGTCTCAAACAGATGGATCCTAAGAGAATAGTTCAACTATTCAGTGTTTAGAAAGAGGTCTAATTTTTCATTGACTCCCTAGTAAGTGTGAATGAGCAAGCTCTCATGATGTTGGCAATAAGTTCTGCAGTGGGTGCTTATTTCTTTTCTCTATCTTCCTCTCTACTCCTAGGAGAAGCATATAAAGTACAGACTACCCAAGTACAGACCCCAAGACCACCACCTGTTTTGGGGTGGTCCAACACACAGGGCCATCAACCATCTCTAGCCTAGAGGCTTCCACTTATAGGCTTCTGAAGACAAAAGTGATGGTTTGGGGTTTGAGTCTTAGAAAGGCTGACATTGAAGGTTAGAGTTTAGGGGTCAACAGGCTTCCATGTCATCATTGGGACAAATTTTATATATTGTAAAGAATTATCTGGAAAGTCACAGAGGAAAAAAATTCACTAGCACAGGTGGGAATAGCAAATAAGAATAAATTATCAATAATTATAAAAAAACTGTCTTTATATTTTTTTTCCCCTAGTCTTAATGTTGGGTTGGCCAAAAAGTTCATACGGAAAAACTCAAACGAACTTTTTGACCAATCCAATATTTTTTCATGTTTTTGAGGAACCTCATATTTACAAGTTTTAAGACAGCATGAACTCAGGGCCTATCAGGGGCTAGATTCCAGACTGCCAGTCAAAGCGAGGGGGCATCTGTGTGATCTGGGAGGCAATATAGATGAAACTACTCAGTCCTCGAAAACAGGAATAGGAAACCCTCAAAAATAAAGCATCACAATGCCCTTGAAAAGCATAAACAGCACTAAATCCCCAAAGTACAGTTTAAATGGAAACAGATTGAATTATAAATTTCATCCCTCTTACACCTAGAGTCTAAAACCATTATGATATTATATTAACTTGCTCAGATGGTAAAGTATCTGCCTACAATGTGGGAGACTCAGGTTCAACCCCTGGGTCAGGAAGATCTCCTGGAGAAGGAAATGGCAACCCACTCCAGTATTTTTGCCTGGAAAATCCCATGGATGGAGGAGCATGGTAGGCTACAGTCCATGGGGTCGCAAAGAGTCGGACATGACTGAGCGACTTCACTTCACTTCACTTCATCTTTTCTGTAAAGGTAAAGTATAATACAAGTCAACCTTATTTGGGATATAAAAAGAGGAAAATAGATGAGGAAAAAAATAGGAATTCTCATCCAGATGTTTATCAGACACTTGTCATATTTTTCATAAAAGTAGGTTTTGTTTTCAGACAAGTCTGATACCTTCAGTTCTCATTAGGAGATAAAATGTTCTATTATAAGCAAATCTCTAATGTAACTAAATTATCATTTACATACATAATTGATATATATCCTTGAGAATTATATTTGAAAAAGAGACCTGCAATACTATATACACACCTATTTATTGCTCTCCTGTCCTTCACTCTTTCTCCTGCTTATCACTCTACAATCACTGTATTTTATGGATATGATGTATTTAATACAATATAATCATTGTATTATACTAAATGTGTGTGTGTACTCAGTCATGTCCAATTCTTTGTGATGCTATGGACTGTTGCCCACCAGGCTCCTCTGTCCATGGGATTCTCCAGGCAAGAACACTGGAGTGGGTTCCCATTTCCTTCTCCAGGGGATTTTCCCGACTCGGATCGAACCCGACTCTCCTGCATTACACGTGGATTCTTTACCACTGAGCCACCTGGGAAACCCATGGTACTAAATAAATAATGGCTAAATATTCTCATCAATACAGACTGTCAATATGGAGAAGGAAACATCTCCATACCATTTTGGTATAATTATCATTTTTCAGCATTCAAGAATCTTTTTGTATTTTGTATTTTTAAACTTTCCTAGTAACTTTTCACCTGTGCCTGCACCAATAGAGACACACACCCAGCAACAGGTAGCCCGTTTCTCATTCTGTAATCCTTTGGCTGAACCAGTGTTTTCAGCTTCAAAATGACTTTTAATTTTATGTATAGCAACAAAGAGCATTAGGCAAAATCATAAGAGTTTAGGTCATTTATATCAGACACATTCAAACTTAAAAACACAACTATATAAATTTGGCTAATTTTGTTTACATCTACTATCATTGAATCTATCAACTTTTGAGGCCTACTGAAATATGCCAAAACAAAATAAATACTTAAGCACTTATTTATTACATGCCTATTATGTGTAATGCACCATGCTAAGATTTTGTTATTGTTTTTTTTTTTTTTTCTTTAAGGATTTGAGGACTGAGTTATGTGAAGCAAATTCCCTAGTCTAGAGATGGGATAAAAATTTATTTAGGGCACTAATGCCATTCCAAAGAAGAGAAATAAACAATGGAGTAGCTCCTCTGCAAAATTTCATAAATTCTAGTAATAAGCATTTAAGGATACAATATTAAAGAAGTAAGGCCATCCAGGTTTATTTATGCATCGAGTTTGATTTATGCAGAGTGTTATGGCTCTGTCTTATTTATCTTTTCTAGTTCATTTTATATTTATTTCCAAATAAAAGTGTTAGATATGTGTGACTCAACCTCTATTTTGTTGCAATGACAGTTTCAAGTCTTTGAAGGGGAAAAGGAGCTCTCGGCAACATACTTGTCAAGTACATATTAATAAACACAGAATATGAAAGTCACATGTTTTGGAAATAGTTATGTATTGAAGCTTTAAGGATGCCTATACCAACCTGGCTGGATGTGAAAATAACTGCCCAAATGCTCCACCCACATCATCAAAATCCAAACCCAGGAGCAGTCAGCAAAGTAAAAATAAGGCTGTGGTTTTATACTGTATGCTTCAGTGTTTAGGAATAGCTAGTTAAAAGTTATTTTAATAAGCATCTAGGATCAAGCTTTTTCCTCTTTAACTTTTATGTTCAGATCTTAGATACTTCCAAAGCACTTAAGGAAAATTAGCAATAAAACATTACAAAGTTTATTCGGTTTATTGAAGAACAGGATTTATATGACATTCTAAAAAAGGATATGGTTCTTATCCTTCCCGACCTGTTCACTTCTCCTTCACTCTTGGTTGTAAAATGTTTAAAGGTTAACTGGCAGGCACCTTAGATACCCTGGGCTTCCCTATAAAGAATTACAATTTGACTATGAAAATGTCAGTTATGTTTTTTTTTGTTTTTTTGCTTTACCTTGGTCAGTTTATAGCACTGCTCTGCAGTACATTCTGCTTTACTAGTTGGATTACTCAAGGCAAAAATAATAGGCCGTTCATTGAAGGCTGCCATGTCTTTGATAATTTGTTCTGAGAACGCACCACCAATCGCAGCAACTCCTAACACAGAAACAAGAAACCAGTGAACAGGACCATCATTGGTTATTTAATCCAATGCCCCGCTCCCCGAAACAATGAGACACGTCAGGTCATTTTGTAATATACCCTAAGCAAAATATAGAATATTTGTATGAAAATGACAAAAAGATGTCCATTAATGCCAATAGCCTTTAAGGTTATACATCTACAGTTATCTATGAAAAAAAAAAAACAAAACAGTTTTAATATTTGGCTCATGAGTAGATTTAATGACCAATAACTAGGAATTCTGATAACAGACAAATAAATGTATCTAATATATATTACCTCTCTGTAAAAAATTCTAGAAGTTTATTTCAGTGTCTGAGGCTACCAAGTAATCATGTTTTATAATCCAGAGCTAACACTTAAGTCAATCATCCCATTCAATGACAGAACTAAAGTATGACTCATTGAAAGAATTTGAACAGACGAATAAAGCAATTAGCATCATGCAAATTTTAAACAGTAAGATTCCTGATAGAACACATTTTATAAAAAAAAACAACAATGAAGGTTTACTACAGTTCCTGTCATGGAGTAAATACTTGTTTTTATTAGGGTCCTCATCCTTATTCTCAGTATCAGCATCTGTTGCACGGGAGCTTCTAGAAATGGAATGTAAGACCAAGTGAGGGCTGGCATTATATACACACAAAATAAAGGGTATAAAGCTTTGCAACTTGGAGATTTTTTTCCAACCACATCAAATTCGTCCACATTAACCATCTTTATGTGCACATGCAGTACAGAAGCTACCGTGTTGTCTGCTATGGGGAGTACATAAAGACACATGAAATTACAGTCTCTGTTTTCAGTCTTTCTTAATCTTGGCCCCATGAGCATTCTGGGCTGGACAACTCCTTGTTGGGGGCGGGGGTGCTTTCCTGGGTGTTGGAGGGGGTGGAACAGCGTCCCTTCATCTCCATCCAATAATGTCAGCAGCCCCTGACCTTCTCCCTCCAACTGGAACAACAAAAAATGTCTCCAGACATTGCCAAATGTTTCTTAACGGGGCAAAATCGCCCCCATTCAAGAGCCACTGTCTATTTGGAATAACTGACCTGGCAAAGTGCTGGATGTGCCAGGTATTGACAGGTTGACAGTTAGCAGAGGGAACCACTCCCCTCAGCTGGCATCACCCGTAACATTAAGAAGGCAGCACTGAATTTCTAAATCTAGACATCTAGGGGGCACTGCTGCTTCAGGGAATAGGTAACTTTGTTTGTGGAATTCCAAAGATCAGGATTTCAAAAAGCTAAAGAATGTCTCAAAGATTAGCAGCAAGAGGACTTCCATGGTGGTACAGTGGACAGGAATCCCGCCTGCCAGTGCAGGGGTCATGGGTTTGATCCCTGGTCCGGGAGGAGCCCACACGCTGTGCGGCAACTAAGCCGGTGGACCACAGCTACTAAAGGACCACATGGCCTCCAGCCCGTGCTCCACAGCAAGTAAAGCTACCTCCGTGAGAAGCCCACGCCCTACAAGAGGGGTAGCAGCCACTGCTAGAGACAGCCCTCACGCAGCAACAAAGGCCCAGTGCAGCCAAAACTAAGATAAATCAATCAGTAAGTTTTTAAAGATTAACCGTAAGGAAACAAATCAGGCCCACGTGGGGTGGGGATAGGGTTTACAGGACAGGGAAGAAGCCGAAGCTCACCAATGAGGGCAGTTGGTTTTATATCTTGAACGATGGCTTCGAGGTTCTTCATTTCTTTATGTTCATGGGCAAATTCCTCTTTCTCTTGTGTTAAGGCAGCACGTCCCTAAGTAGAGCAGATAAGAAGAAATGATAAATCTGCCAAGCATGAGAGTCAAGGGAGTTTCAGAGTATTACACATATCAGCAGAATTTATACTTAATAGGTTTATGTAGTATGCCTTCCAGCTGTTCTTAAAGTCTCCTCTCCAATTATCAGAGAATTATTTCATTGACTCTTGCCACAAAGACAATGCTCCAGGCAATGAGGGCATGACTGTGAACAAAATAAAGTCTTATCCTTATTTAACTACTATTTAATATTTAAAATCCTAACTCTACAGACACTTGCAAGAAACGAGAGTTAACAAATGGCAATGCAAAATATCATTTAAAGATATTGTTTATTAGATATGATTTGTGTTGACAAAGCAGCATCTTAGAGTGCAGAGTGGCCTTTAGTGGTTGCATGAATCCTTTATGGACCACTCACTAAGAATGGAACTTGATGCCATATTTATGTAATACTTTGATGTTCTGAATAAGCACTAGCTTCATGTGCTTTTATTTTGTAATGTTTTGAACATAGTTGTACCATGTATTATCTAAGAAACATCTAATTATAATATCCCAGCTACAAAAAGGAACTTAGGATGGGGTTAGGGAATGTTATCTAAAAATCTGCTTCCTTCATTTTTTTCCCTGCTCTTTCAGTATTGTATCTTTCCACATAATTAGTAGATCTGAAGATGAAATTCTCATCTACACTTCTATGACCAGGAATAATATCTGCTCAAATTAGAATTCTCTTCATTTACCTATTATTCATTTTCCTTACTTCAGTGAAAGAGTTAGTCACTCATCATGTCAGACTCTTTGTGACTCCATGGACTGTAATCCACCAGGCTCCTCTGTCCTTGAAATTCTCCAGGCAAGAATATTGGAGTGGGTAGCTGTTCCCTTCTCCAGGAGATCTTCCTAGCCCAGGGACTGAACCCTGGTCTCCTGCACTGCAGGCAGATTCTTCACTGTCTCAGCCACCAGGGAAGCTTTCATCAAAGAATGAGTGATGAAACAGTTTTTTGTTCACAGGTAGAAACAGTTAATAAGTGTGCTCCTTATTAAAACTTGACTTTTAAATTGTAAAAACAATAGGTGGCGCTAGTGGTAAAGAACCCATCTGCCAATGCAGGAGACCTAAGAGTCGTGAGTTCAATCCTTGCGTTGGGAATATCCCTTGGAAGAGGGCATGGCAATCCACTCCAGTATTCTTGCCTGGAGAATCCCATGGACATTGGAGCCTGGCGGGCTACAATCCACAGGGTTGCACAGAATCTGACACTACTGAAGTGACCTGGCACAGACACACTTATTAAACTTGACTTTTAAATTATAATACTCTACCTATAAATTTTGAAGATTTTGACTACATAATAAATCAGTACCTAACTTTATATGGTACTTTATAGCTTATAAGTTATCTTCACATATTTCATTTGATCCCCTCAACAATTTGAAAATTAGGGCAAATATAATTAGGTTTTTGCATGAAGAAACAGAGGTTCCAAGACAGTGAGGCAGGTGCTAAAACTCAGTCTTTCCAATAATACAATACAGACTAGTCCTGGAGAAAACACTTTACAAATGGTATATGTCAGACTGTACACAGATTGTTACTCCTGGTTCAATATTCTTGCTTTAAAAGGCTATTATCAACCTACACAGGAAAATAATCTGAGAAAGAATAGATATGTGTATATGTATAACTGAATCACTTTGCTATACACCAGAAACTAACACAACATTGTATTGTGTTAGTTTAGCTAGTTAGTATAAATCAAACTTCAGTCTGGTGCTTACTTCTTCAAAGGTTTAGAGATTGGCTTTTCAGGATACCTACTGTCAGAACCTCTGTTAGGTTCTCTAACAGAGAAAAAAAAATCTTAGGATAACTATTCACCTACTCCAAAACAACCGTAGTCATCTCAACCCGGTGTTATGTAATCTTGAGGGCTGCTGATAATAAGCGTATCTCTTAGAGAAGACTGAATGAATCTTAGGGTTTTGCCTCTTGGCCTTTCGGTTTCTACCTGACAAAGTTTAAGTATTAGGCAAATACATTCCATCAAAGGAATAACCAAAGAGGAATATGGTCAAAGGAATTACCATACGTCCTAGATCTTTCCTTCCACGTTATATTAGTGCATTCTAGTATCACCTTTTATTCTTTAGTAACAGTAAAATATGATGATTAATCTTTTTCTGTGATTACTTTGGAAAAGAAAGCAGAACCCCCACCAAAAGGTTTGTGAGGAAAAGGAGATGTTTTAAGATGTGATAAGATGTTCAGGATTATTTACAGAATAGGAAGTACTAAAAATAGTTTTTAAAGGAGAATATGTCCCTGATTTTGTTTATTCTAAAAAATGCTTGTACTCACAAAACAATAAGATTCCACACAATCCATGGTAAAACACGATGGCCCACAGAAAGAAACGTAAGAATGAGGAGGCCACAGAGAGGGCTTACTGAAGCTTCTGAGTCAGGAAACAACCCCTTCTTGACCATTTAGCTGCTGACAAACATGCCAGTGAGAACATATCCAAACTGCTTCTGGTATAAAGTTTTAAATAAATTTGCATGCGATCACATAAAAATGAAAACCTATTCATTTTCATAAAGAAAGCTGAGTGCCGAAGAATTGATGCCTTTGAACTGTGGTGTTGGAGAAGACTCTTGAGAGTCCCTTGGACTATAAGGAGACCAAACCAATCAATCTTAAAGGAAATCAATCCTGAATATTCACTGGAAGGACTGAAGCTGAAGCTGAAACTTCAATACTTTGGCCACCTGATGTGAAGAGCTGACTCATTGGAAAAGATCCTGAAACTGGGAAAGAGTGAAGGCAGGAGAAGGGGACAACAGAGGATGAGATGGTTGGATGGATCACCGACTCAGTGGACATGAGTTTGAGCAAGCTCTGGGAAACGGTGAAGGACAGGGAAGCCTGGTGTGCTGCAGACCATGGAGCTGAAGAGAGTCAGACACGACTGAGTGACTGAACAGCAATTCATTTTCATTATATTACCAAGCCAAGAAGTAGCCTTCTACACAAGAAAATAAAAGCGACACGAGAGTAAAAGTCTTAGAGATGATGTTATGGGCAGCATAATAACTAAATTCAACCTCATATAATATGAATGGTACCACTGCTACAAGTAAGCTATAAATAAAAGAAGAGGGTCTAGTCTGTTATATTGAATGTGGACCTACAAATCCATAATATGAAATGAATTTAAAAGATGTTGAATAATCTGAGTGAGAGACATAATCCCCATTTTTTAGTTCAGTAATTCAAAATATTTTCCTCGGCACACTGTCCCAGATTATCCCAAAGAGCAAATTAAAAATGCTTTAAATGTATTTCACAACTCTGTTCTCACAGCTATTAATTGTGGTCAAAATAAACTGATATAAATTGTGATAAATTTTTGGCTTAGGGACATGAATAAATAACTAGTAGCAGAGTCCATTCTAACAGCTAAGAGCAAATATATTTATGTTACTTCTGAAAGCTCTAATATAATACAAAAAAATAAAGAAAAGTGCCCCCAGAAAATGCCATCTACAAATGCTGGAGACAGAACATGGGACTCAGGCTCAGGGTGGTGGTGTCCTCCTTAGGTCCTTCCATTCACTCATGACCTTGGGCAAGGCCTTTGGTACTTCCATAGATGCTGGTTTCTCTATCTAGAAAATGGTTTGGTTTGGGATGATAACAGTGTAATGAAAGCGAACCTGATCTGGGCTTTACAGAGGCAACTGAGTACCAGACACACCTGAGGAAAATTAGATTCATGAGCCCTGCTGCCAGATATTTTAGTTCAAGTCCAGGATGAGGCCCTGGCATCTGTGTGTATTTTTTTTTTCAAACTTCTCAGATGATTTGAGTGATTAGCCAGTTTTCAGCATCACTGCACTAAAGGGTTTATCAGATGTCTACCAGAAGCATTTTTCAAAAGATATTAATATGTGATCTGTTTTCAAAAAAGTAGAAAATGGTGAGTTCTAATGAAGGAATGCCACAAAATAACATAAAAGCATAGATTTCTAATATTGCTCTTTTGGATATTTCATGAGATACCATGAAAAGTATTTAATAAGGCTTAAACCCCCTAAGTTTCCTGGAATGAGAAACAAATCATAAAGAAGATTGATAAACATTATAGGAAAAGACGTATGCTTATGCTTTTATCATGAACATCTTACTTTATTAATCATAGTAACAGCACTGGCAGCTCCAGGCCACTAAAGCTAGAACTTGGCCATCTGTCTAGCAAGAAACATAAATTACCTACAGCCTACAGACGTAACCTACAGACGTAACCTACAGACGTAATTCTTGGTGGGGACTTAGGAATGCAGAGGCAACACTGAAAGAAGGCCAGGAATCATGCATACCAGCATCACCAGAGGGCTCAACTTGCCAAGAACAGAAAAATCAAAAGACAAAAATAAAGGTCTCCCAAGTATTTTCTATACAGTTTTCAAAGTTGATGTGCTGATCTGGTTTAGATTAAAAAACTATTGGAATGTGACCTTCTCTGGATCTGTAATATTCAGGCAAATGTCTTTACCTTTGGACTTCTGTTTTCTGTACTAATGGCTCACTCTTCTCCTCTTTTCAAAATGCAATTTGGAATACACCTTCTTCACGCCAAATACTTCAGCTGGAGGTAGATATAGATTTTTTTTCTGTTCAGTCTCCCTTTTCAGGAACCCTTGCTGAAATGCTTTTTGCCTGCATTTACCACTGTTTATCTCAAGTGCCCCAAGTTCTACGGTGTTTCTTTTTTTTAGGAGTTTCTACTTATACCAAATGTACTATAAATATCTGAGAATTTCCTTCAAATATTATTATTTCTTTGGTCTCCACCCACCCTCCTTGTTTTGTGCTGAATCTTAGTAAAGAAGATATAACCAGACTGAACAACTATCTTTTTCAAAAGCACCTATGTGCTGGAGAGGCTTGGGGGAGGAAGGTAGCAAACACTGTCAAGATTTTGAG